TGAAGCTTTTATTGTCTTTTCTTTTCAAGTCACATCAACAGATTTTCTTGGTAATGCTTCTTAAAGATTTATTTTTTTATGCATACAAGCAAGGAGTATAGGCCAGAGGTGCGGGGAGTGAGATGATTCACCAGAGACAGAGTGGGAAGCAGAAAAGGCGGATTGACTGAAATACACTGCTGAGGGGAGCAGCAGGCAAGACAGGAGGTCTGCTGCCCCATGTGGGTCAGCTCCCTGGCCTGGGATCTACTTGCCTCCATCTTATTCCTTTCTCCTGGGGATAGACCCTTCCTTTCCCTATAGAGAAAGAGAGGACTTTGGCTTAGTTAGGCCTCTAAGCGGTTGTGAGAAATACTACTATGAATATTGGTGTACAAGTATCTGTTTGGATCACTGCTTTCAGTTCTTTTGGCTATTTACCTATGAGTAGACTCACTGACCAATTTGAGGACTGACCAAATTGTTCCCTACCATGGCAATACTGTTTCTCATTCTGGTGGTCAGTGTCCGAGGGCTATCATGCCTTCTGATGCTCACCAACACTTTTCTCCACTTTTTTGATAATAGGTGTGAAATGGTGCCCAGCATGTTTCATGTGCTTATTGGCCATGTAGATCTCATTTGGAAAAATGTGAATTCATCTTTGTCTAGTTTTTTTTACTTGTATTGTTTTATCTTGCTGAGTTTTAAAATTTCTTTATATAGCCCAAATATAAATCCCTTATCAGAGATATAACTTGCAAATATTTGTTCCCCCCTGTAAATTGTCTCTTCACTCTCTTGATTTTGTCCTGTGATACACAAATGTTTTAAATTTTGATGAAGGTCCGTGTATTTGTTTTTTCTTTTGTTGTCTGGTGTTATGGTCAATGTGTTGTTGCCAAATTCAATGTGTGAAGATTCCCCTTATGTTTTTTGGTAAATATTTTATTGGATACATTTGGGTTAATTTTTGTATTTGAGGTAAAGGCCCAACTTCATTATTTTGCATATGGATATCCAGTTTTGTGGAAAAGACTATTTTTTCTCCACTGAAAGTCCTTTGTTTGCATGCCTGTCAAAAGTCAAATGACCATATTATGCAGGAATTTATTTCTGGGTCTCTTATTTTATTCCATTGGTCTGTTTATCTGCTTTTATGCCAATTACATACTGTTTAGCTTTCTAGTAAGTCTCAAAATTAGTAAGTATGAATCCTCCAACTTCTTTTCAAGAATGTTTTGGCTTTTTGAGGCCTCTTGCAATTTCATACCAGTTTTTAGGGTGGGTTTTTCTATTTGTGAAAAGAAATTTGGGGGATATTATTAGAAATTTATTGAATCTGTATATCACTTTAGGTACTAATGACATTCTAACAATATTAAGTCTTCTAATCTGTAAATACAACACGTCTTTCCACATGTTTACATCTTAATTGTTCTCAGCTATGTCTAATAGTTTGCAGTGAATACTTCTTTCACCTCCTTGCTTAAAATCATTCCCAAGTATTTTATTATTATTATTATCATTTTTTAAGAGTTATTTATTTGTATATACAAAACTAGGGTACAGGCCAGAGATGCAGGGGCCATGAGAAGATTCACCAGAGACAGAGTGAGGAGCAGAACAGGCCAATGAAATACACTGCTGAGAAGGAGCAGCGGGCCGGTCAAGAGAGATCTGCTATGCCATGTGGTCACCTCCGGGGCAGGCGGGGATCGAACTCATGCGGAAGTGGCTTTAGCTTCTTAGTGCTGTGCTTTAACCCGCTGCGCCACCAGGGAGGGCCTATTTTATTATTTTAATGTCATTTTAAATGGAATTTTTTTTCTTAATTTTATTTTAGAATTATTCATTACAAGTGTGTGTGTGTCGATACACACACATATATACATACACATATACTATTGAATTTGATTTGTTGATATGTTGCTGAGCACTTTTCATCTATATTTGTAGAGTATATTGGTCTGTAATTTTCTTTTTTACACTATCTTTGTTAGGCTTAGTATCAATGTAATTCTGATCTCATAGAAATTTGACTCAGCAGATCTCTCCTGCATCACCCGCTGCTCCCCTCAGCGATATATTTCAGTTGATCGCCTGTTTTGCTCTGATTCTGTCTCTGGTGTATCCTCTCACTCCTGCATATCCGACCTACACCCCTGTTCCTCAACACAAAAAGAAAAAAATTCTTCCCCTTCTTCTATTTTTTTGAAAAGTGTGAAAAAGAAAAATGAGAATTATTCTTTTATTGTTTAGTGGAATTCACCAGTGAAGTCATCTGGTCCTGGGGTTTTCGTTGGAAGGTTTCTGATTACTGAGTCAATCACCTTAATATAGATTTGTTCAGATATTCTTTTCCTCAGTTAGTTTTAGTAGATTGTTTCTAGAAATTTCACCATTTTATCCAAACTTCTGGTGTGCAGTCGTTCATAGTGTTGTTATTTCTATAGAATTAGTGCTACCACCTCCCCTTTGTTTTCTGATTTTAGCAAGTTGAGACTTTTTCTTAATGTAGCTAACAGTTTGTGAATTTTCTTAATCTTGTCATATAACCAACTTTTGATTTTGTTTATTTTTTCTATTTTATCTCTGCTCTAAATTATTTTTTTCCTTCTAGCTTAGAATTTTGTTTCCCTTTCTTTTTCTAGTTCTTCAAAGTATACAATTAGGTTACAATTTAAAATTCTCATGACTTTTAGTATTTCGTGCTTTTATTTTCATTTATCTCAAGATATTATCTAACGTTTAGTGTGCTTTTTTCCTCTTGGGCTCACTGGTTAAGAATACGTTGTTTAATTTCGACACATTTGGAAAATTTTTCAGTTTTTTTGTTTTTATTGATTTCTAGTTTCCTCCCATTGTTATCAGAACTGATACCTTGATGTTTTAAATTTTTAAAATTTACTAATTTACTAAGACTTGTTTTGTGACCCTGGAGGCTATTCCCTGGGTCCTTGGAGAGGAATATATATCCTGCTGTTTGGGGCTAGAGCTTTTCATACCTGTCTGTTAGATCTAATTGATTTATAGTATTGTTCAAATTTTCTATTTCCTTATCAATTTTCTCTCTGGTTATTCTATTCATTATTGAAAATAGGAGTATAAAGGTATCTAAATATTATTATAGAACTGTCTTTCTTCAATTCTTTCAATTTTTGCTTCCAGATTTGGGGGCTCTGTCAGTGCTTATATGTTTATGATTGTTATTATCTTCTTGCTGTATCAAACTTTTATCAATAGATAGAGTCCTTTGTCTCTTCCAACCTTTTGTTTTAATTTAAAGTCTGCTTTGTTGTTGTTATGTAATAATATTGCCATCCAAGCCCTTTTTGGATTACTGTGTGCATGGAATATCTTTTTCTATTGTTTTACTTTCAAATTCTTCTTTGTGTCATTTTGTTGAAAATAAATCTCTTATACACAATAGGTAGATGGACCTTGTTTTTTAAAAATCCATTCTGATAATATTTGCCTCTTAATAGAGGAGTTTAGCCCACATACATAATGTGATTACTAATAAGGAAGAATTTACTTTTTCCGGTATCTATTTGATTTCTCTATGTCTCCATGTGTCTTGTTCTCAATTCCTCTACTACTGCTCTTTTTGTTTTTCCTTGATTGTTGTAGTGCACCACATGGATTCCCTTGTTCTATTCTGCATATTTGTAGTTATTTTCTTAGGAGTTACTTTGGGATAGCAATTAATATCTTGAACTTATAACACCTTGGTTTGAATAATGCCAACTTAGTTTCAACAGTATATACTCTGTTCTTATAGCTCGGTCACTTCTTATTTATATCATTAAGTTTGTCTCTGTATACAACATATATCCATCAACAGAGGTTTACAATCACAGTTTTGTGCATTGTGAAGGAGAAAAGGAGGAGTTACAGACCATATGAAAATACAATAATTCTGATGTTTATATCTGCTCATGTAGTTATCTTTAACCAATGTTGCTTATCCTTGTTTATGACTTTAGCTTCTAGTATGTTTCCATGAAGAATGATACTTAGCAGTTTTGTAGGCAGGAGTACTAGTAATGAACACCCTCAGTTTTTGTTTATAAGGAAATGTCTTGTGGAGCCAGTGAAATCAGACACAAGAGTTCAAGAATGGCCAGTATTAACAAACTGCTGTGATAAAAGTCAGAAGAGAAGTTACTGTGTGACTGGGTATTAGTGGATTAGTGGGGGGAGATGCCAAAGGAGTCTTCAGGTGAAATAAATGTTCTATGCCTTGGTGTAGGTAGTAGTGACACAGGTGTGTTCATATGGAAAATTAATCAAGCTATACACGTAGGATTTATGCACTTGATACATATCATTGTATGTGTCTCGTACCTCAATAAAAAAGAAAAAGGGAAGGAAATGAACATTTTTTGACTACTTGCTATATGTTAGGCAGTGGTTATATCTGCTTTTTTGCTTTCCATTCATTCAATGCACACTTACTATGCCCTAGTTATTATCACATTCTGAGGACCCAACAGCAGACAAAAAGTTTGCAGAATCTTTGCCTGTCTGATGCTCACAGTGAACGGGGGACAATATCAAAGAATCACATTCATGAAAACCAGTGATAACAATGAGTAAAGGGCATGTTAGTGTGCTGAAGAAGGGAGGAATCCTTATTTGGGGGTCCAGGCAGAAAGCGTTCCCTGAGAAAAGGAAGGTAAAACAGAGACCTACAGGGTGAGGGGACAATAATCAACTAAGGAGGGGGCAGGTAGAGCATCTTATGCAAAGGGAATAGCACAGCAATTCCTGTGGTTGGAAGAGATGTGGCAGAGACCAGGGCTAAACAGGGCTTATTTGATATGAAAGAGAGGAGACTGTTCCACAGATGGGAAACTGAGGCCAGGTCAACCAGCAAGTAAGCCTTGGGGTGGAAATGAGATTTGCCAGGTTCCCCCATTACTTGCTGAGGCAGAGAGTGGGGATGTGAACAAGAGCGGTCACTGCGTTCCAACTTGCAGCAAGTGCCAGCTGCCCTCACACCCCCTGCCTCTCAGATCCACAGGGCCTGTGGAAAGGTGTGACCATGGAGCTCTGTTCTCAAGAGCAGTACTGGGACCCCCTGCTGAATGTCTGCCTCTCCTGCAAATCCAGCTGCAACTATCAGATTCCACGTACCTGTGCAACCTTCTGCAGTGAGTTCTGAGGCCTGAGTCCAGGGACAACTGGATCATCCTTCCCTTCCCTCCCAGAGGTCCTTCTAGCCACACTGCACTTGGGGTGGTGGAAGCTGTAAAGGGTGGTGCCCTGGACCCCTCATTCTTTCTGCTCTGGTCTCCCGGAAGTTTCTTAAATTGCCTTAGGACATTTGCACACTCTACAAACCCAAGAAGTCATATCATTTTACCTATAAGTACTAAATCATGAACCTCTAATACACAGGCTCTTTAAAATGCCACGTTAATATCCTATCACCTCAAGAAATAATTCCTTACCATGTAATACTCAGGTCATTTCCAATTTTTCCTGATTATTTTTAAAAATATCTTTTGGTTTCTGGTCTTTTTCATAACTTATTTTCCTTGACAGAACTTATCCCAATTTGTACTGTTTTCTTTTGTCTATATTTGTTTCATTTCCAACTCTACCACCAGACTATGAACTCCTTGCCTGATGCATAGTAAATGCTTCATAAATACTTGTTGAGTAGAGTTCAGTTAAGCTGAGTGACTTGCCCAAGGTTGCACAGTTTAATCGTGGAAAATTAGGATTTGAAGCCAGGTCTCTCTGCCTTTGAACCATCATCCATTAATAAAGTAAACATGCGTTGTATTGTCCCACAAATATTCAGGGAACCTCCTAGTGTCTTAAAATAGGACTCTGAATGACCCTTCAAAGAGGTTATTTTCTTCCAGGGGAAATTACTGTATTTTCAGGTAGAAAGGTTAAGTGCCATAAAATGCCCATACGGAAGAGACCACCCTGTGGTTGGGGAGCAAGGAAGGATTCTTGGAGGAGGTGACACCCGAGATGGGTTGTAGGGAAAACAGTGTGAGCAAAGAGTTGGAGGTGGGGAGAAAATGGCAGGGACTCCAAAGGAGAGGACGAGAGCTTGGAAACTGCAGGGCACAGCACTGCCATCAGGCTGTTTCCTGACGCTGGTGTCAGCTGGCCTGTGTGGAGCCCGGGGGCAGGGCAGGGCTAGCACGAGGCCCCAGGCCCAGTGGGGATACAAGCCTTTGCTGAGGTCTCAGCCCCACCCACTCTCTGGTCTTTTTCCTTTACTCTGTCAAGGACATAAGGGTTGGGGTGTTTGCAAGGCTGAGAAGTGAAAGTGAACGTCCTCCTTAAAAGCTTCCACTAACTGAGCATTTGGGAAGGCGTGTTAGACACTGTGCTGGCCCATCACAGCCTCGTGGAGTCCGTAGGGTCATTCCTCTTTTGGAAGTGAGGAAACCGAGGCACAGAGTGGGTAAGGCCCCACAGCTGCTGTGCTAGGGGCACACCCCATTCTGGTAAGTTCTTAATCCCTATCTTGCACTGTCTCTGAAATGTGCCCTTAAAATCTGTATGGAGTCACATTTTCTTAGAAATAGAATCTTGTTTTTAAAATGAGAAACTCACCCTGTGAAAGGAAGGATTTCTGTCAGGCTCTTAAGGTTACTTCTCAAGGTAAGCGTGATAGGCCTTGGTTTGCTTGGCTTCCATTTCTGGGCACTGGCATCTATTTAAGCTCCTGGGATTCTCATTAATTGTTTTTTTATAATAGTTTAATTCTCATTCTTTTTTTTTTTTTAAGATTTATTTATTTGTACATACAGAACTGGGGTACAGGCCAGAGGCTCAGGGGCGGTGAGAGGCTTCACCAGAGACAGAGTGGGCAGCAGAACAGGCAGATCGACGAAGTACACTGCTGAGGGGAGCAGCGGGCGGGTCAGGAGAGGTCTGCCTCGCCATGTGGTCACCTCCGGGGCAGGCGGGAATCGAACTCATGTGGAAGTGGCTTTAGCTTCTCAGTGCTGTGCTTTAACCTGCTGCGCCACCAGAGAGGGCCAAATTCTCATTCATTTTTAAGGCAGAAGGAACACTATTACCTTGAACTTTCTTATCTTCCTTCCAGCTCCCTTCCCCAGCATATTAAGGCGAATTCTGCCTTTCCCTTCCAATCCTTCTATTAATATGAAATGTTTCTCTTTCGTAAGAAATGAAAAATGAAGACTTTGATGTGACAATGTAATAATTTGATGCCAACTTAAAAAAATAACTAGGATATCCCTATATGTTTAGAAACTAAGAAATGCACCTTTAAAAATAAGCTAAGTCAAAGAAGAAATGATAAAAACAAAAACATAAACTAGGTCTCAAATACTACATATCAAAATGTGTCTGATAACAGTTAAAATAGCACATAGGACAATGTATAACTTACGTTTACATGTGGGGAGAAGACAGTTACCTTGGAACTGCTTTTAGGGGACTGGAACATGACTTGTCTTTTAACACGTATGTCCTTCGACGCCAGACCCACGGCTTCTGCTGGTGTCTGTCACCTAGCCGTGCCCCCCATTTCTGTCTCCCAGAGGCCCTCAGCTGCCACAAGGAGCAGGGCCAGTACTACGACCAGCTCCTGCGAGACTGCATCAGTTGTGCCTCTATCTGCGGACATCACCCCACACAGTGCAAGCATTTCTGCGAGAACAAAGTGAGGGACCCAGTGCACCTGCCGCCAGAGCTCAGGAGCCAGCAGACAGGGGAGGCTGGGACCAGGCCGGACAACGTGGGACAGTACCAAGGACCAGAGCACAGAGGCCCCGAGGCAGCACTAGGTAAGCCCCTGTGGGTGACCTGCCTGGGGTCTGAGGGCCTGTGTGGGCGGAGGAGACCTGACCACTGAGAGTCTTGTAATGGGGCCAAAAGAGCTTTTAAAACCAGGCCAGCAAGTCGCTGCCGGGCTGCCTTGGACAGCTCTCCATGATGGAGACTTGCTCGAAATGAGAAGGGAAAGGTGTTACAAACACAGCTCAGGTGGGAGCTGCTGGCCACGCTGGATGTGGTGAGAAGATCCCCACCACCGCCACCCCCCAATCGGAAATGAGCTCATTCTCCCAGCAGACACCTCTTGGCTCGCCTCCCCTGCTGTGTGGGGTCAGAAAGGCTGGGCGAGAGAGGCCACGTGCGTCCTCATCACTTGACACTGTTCTGGCAGAAAAACAGGAGGACTGAAGCTTCAGTGGGCAGACTGTTTTTTCCTTCGCTGTCACTCCCTTTGGTAATATCATTGCCCAAAAGCCTGGCCATGGAGCAAGATTCACGGTCAGAGCTGGCATGCCTGCTGACCCAGGTTGCCCAGCTCCAAGTTCTACTTGACTAGACAGTCGTCCCTTGCTCTTGATGCCAGGCCTGAGAAGTTGCAAGCTGAACTACGTCTGCGGCTTGGGTCACAGAGCCAGCGGGCTCAAGGAGAGTGTTTGTGGCTGGGTTTAATTTAGCAAAGAGAGGGACTGCCCGAGGCATGGTGACAGAGGTGGGGAGGAAACACACAGACAGGCAAGAAGGGTGGCCCACCTGCTCCGCCAGTGTCTGGTGACCCCTCTGCCTGCCCTGCTGCGGGGGGTGGGCTTCATTGTTCCAGTCAAACCCGGAGCCTCTCCCACCTCTATGCAATAGTCTCCTTCCATCCTACCCGCTTTACAGATGGAGCCACTAAGACTCAAAATTTGGGGTGACGGACAGCGTCTAGCAGGGCTGGGACTTGGGTCCTGTCTGTTGCCCCAGAGTGTGCCCATGCTCCAAGGCAAAGCTTGCCATGGGATTGCCACAGTGTGGTGTGGGGTATGCAGTGGGGAGCCAGTGGGCCAGCATGACACCTTGACCTGTCACATCACTGTCCCACGGGCACTGAGGCACAGCGTGGGGACCTCACAGGCCTCAGGGGCTCAGGGGCTGTCCTGCTGAGCCCTGCCCTTGCCCTGAGTCTCTCCAGAGGTCTGGGGTTAGGGGTTCCTGCTCTCTCTGACTCTTGGCATACCAGCAGGGCAGGAGCAGGCCTTGATGTAGACTATAAACAGGAAATCCCTGGCTACGTGCCCAGAGAGAGTGGGTGTAGACCTGTCTGAGAGAGCATGCAGCCAGGCTGCGTCCAGCTGCACCAGTGGTGGGGTCAATGTATCCTCTGTCCTCCTTGTGGGAGCCCCAAATCCAGCTAGACCCCCAGACATCCCCACCCCCGCCTGGCCCTATTCAGTCACCCTCCAGGTCTGTCACTCAGCCCTCTCAGAGCTGTTATTCCTCTCAGAGCTGTTATTCCTAGTGGAAGGCCTGCTGTGCGTGGGGTCAGCAGCAGCTCACGGAGGCAGGCCCTGCCCCAACCCCAGGGGCACCAGCTAAGGGAGAGACAATGGACAACTTGTACAAATGACACATTCATCTCAGTCCAAGGTGGCAACGTGACCCAGACGGGTATGACAGAGGACAGGGAAGGTTTCCCTGATAGAGGCAACCCCTGGCCTAAGGAAATGGCCAGAGGCAAGGTAGGAGCCCCTCTCTCACAGGCCCTGGACCAACAAGCCAGGCCTCTTCCCCTGCTTTCCCTCTTTAGTCTGGCTGGTTATCAGTCCTTCACATCCTCAGGCTCTGCCAGACAGGAGAGCGAGGCAGCCTGGAGACAGCATCCTTCAGGCCCAGGCCCTGTCCAGCAGAGGATCCAGGCTGCAGGGCTGACGCCTCAGGCCACGAAGGCGTGGGCAGCCTGTGCTCGGCAGTGCCCAGCATAGTGGCGGCAGAGCACTGGATGGGGGGCCAGGGCCCGCTGGGAGAGAGGAGCATGTGGGCGCAATCAGAGCAGGGGGCCTGGCTCGCTAACGATGGGCGGCCTCAGGAGGTGGGGGAGGGGCAGCGAGGGGTGCTTCCGGGAGTGGCTGTGGCTGACATGAGCCATAAGCATTTCCCGGTCAGACCCTTTGTCTCAGGAGCTGTTTCCTTTCTTTGGGGATTCCCAGTAGCTGGTCTTGCTTCGCACTGGCCTTTGTTTATCTCAGGGTGTGGATTGCCTCTCTCAGATGTCCACGTCCTGGTGGAGGCCGACCCATGTCCTCAGCTGCCTCCCCAGAGCTAAAACCAAGGACCCAGAGGGACCCACACTCTCAGTGAGACTGACTTGATACGGGGCTGAAGCAAGAGATAAGACGATAGACAGAGGGTGTGGAGGCCCAGAAAGGGGGGGAGCGGGGGGATCGGCTGTGGAGATGAGTGAGGATGTGATCAAGGGGAGCCTCTCTGTTAACTGGGCCTGGTACACAGTGGGCACAGCTCACCCAGACGCGGGCAGCGGGGCTGAGACAGGGCAGGTTGAAGGCCTGTGTGGGAGCCTGCGTCCTGCTGTGGACTGAGAGTCGCTGTCACACACACAGAGGTGGGGAAAGGCCCCGGGAGACAGGCATTTGGGCCCCAGTGCCTACCAGGCCGGTTCACACTCACCACAGGAACCCCCTTCCCTGCAGACATTGACCAAGGCATGCGAAGGATGGAGCAGGGGCATGGGTGTGGGAAGGGCCTGGGGAGGCACAGCTGGCAAAGGGACAGGTGCTCTGGCAGGCTGGCCACACAGACATGGCCCATGCACCAGCGTGCGCCCTGAGGGAGGAGGGGCAGCGCACCCGCAGAGACACCTCCCTCCTTTTCCAAGGCCAAACTCCTGCTGGCTGAGCTGTGGCAGCACGAGGGTGCTGGGCGACTTGCTGGAATCTTCCACAAGGCATAGCTGCCCCATTACAGTTACACGCATTACCTCATGCCAGCAGCAATGCCAAGAGCTAGGAATGCCACACCCCATTTTACACTTGCCCTGCCAGGGGTTCTTGGTCCATGCTGCCAGGGTCACAAAGGCCCTTCTGTTCCGTCTAAGCAACAAGTTATAACATGCTCCACTGGCCATCCCAAACCTTTAATTTTTAGGTGAGGGATGGCTTTGAAACATTTGTAAAGGAAAAAAATGAAAAGAAATAAAAAACAACTTGGAAATGGACTTGGGCCCGCCAGGGTCCCACAGTCAAACACGTGCGTGGTGACCTCTGGTGGTGATACTTAGAACTGCACCACTAGGGGCTGTCTCCCTGGATTTTCAGGCCAAAACAGAGGAAAACCTGGTAACTGTGCCCCTTTGTTCTGGGGCCCAGCTGACAGTGACCCTTGGAAGGAGGCCTATCCCAGAAGGCCAGCCGTCTCCCACTCCCAGGGAAGTGTTGCTGACTTTCCAGAAGCCATGCCAGAGCACATCCAACCAGGCAGAAGCAGCGTGGGTCTGGGTCCTCACTAAGGCCCTGAAAGCTGCTTGGGGCGCCAGGACCTCCCAGCCCTCCCCACGCTGTTCTCTAGAAGTGTGGACACCAGACCTACTTTGAACTGATTTTCTGTTTGGAATAGTTGATACACACATACCATTTTTTTGAAAGAATGGGGGCGGGGAGAGGCAAGCTCTAAGTCCTTCGTCAGAAGCAACAGCTGCTGGCAGTTTTTGTTTGTCCTTCTAGATTTTCTTATTTGAGTCCTGTTTACATTCCTATGTGTTTCATACCAATGGGGAGCATCTGCAGTGTCTCCTGACAGTTTGCTCCTCGTGTCTCTTGGGGCCAGCCCATCGTCGAACCCCGGATGTGCCTCCTTCATCTTCACCGACACAGTCTCCCCCATGGTGGCCGTATCTCGTGATGGGCAGCCCGGCTGCCCTGGATTTTTCATGTTACAGACAGAGCTCCAGTAAATGCCTGTGTCAAATACCAAAAATCCGACTGAGTTGGATTTTAGCCACCTAGTGGGCTTCGTCAAACCACTCAAAAATCAGGCCAAATGCCAGCTAGCAAGGAGCAAGGTGCTCTGACCAGCTGTACAAAACGAAAGGCTTCCAAAGGCAGAGAGCAGACAAAACAGGGTACAGGGTGGTTATTTCAGGTTTAGGCACCCCACGTAGGGGGAATAGAAAAAGGCTTATGACGGATGATCTCATCTTCCTGCAGCTATAGGAAGATTGGGGTTGACCAGAAAATTCCGTACTGACAATGGAAACTACATTTTGAGGGAGGTGGAAACCAGTTAGATTAGTTATTAAGTCTGGGGGGACTTTACCCAAGTGCCTTCATTTGAGAGTTCTTACTTTCTTTTTAAGACCTGCGTCTGTGTGGGTTGGATATGTCCCTAAGCAGTGAAGGTGATGCAGCCACACGACTCAGGAAGGTGTTTTCAATGCTGAGAGGCCCACAAGGTGTGGGTGCCCAACTCCGTGAGCCTTGTAGCTTTGATTTGCATTTTGCTTCTTAGTGTGGGGAGGCCTAGAAAAGAGAGTCTCAAGGACAGGTCCCCAGGCAGAAACCCACTCTTCCTTCCTAATAAGAAACCTCAAATCGCTGCTCTGGGCAGAGGGGACAGAGAGAAGTTGGGACAAATCCTTCTCTCTGAGGAGCAGAGTGTGCTCTGCTGTCCTCAGGGTGTCTGAAAGTCAGCCTACCAGTCACAACCATTTTATTATCGTGTGTGGGTCTGTCGGTGACTGGGCTCAGCTGGCCAGCTCTTCTGCTGGTGTTGCTTGAGGTCCCCATGCCGGGTAGGCAGATGGTTCTGGTGATGGAGTCATCTAGAAGCCTCACATCTCCTCTGTCTGCTCCGAAGCCCGGCCCCTCCCTGTAGTCTTTCCAGCTCGACTTCTCACGTGGTGGCTTGGGGCTCCCAAGAGAGCACAAACAGAGGCTGGCAGGCCTTCTTTGGGTGCAGGCCAGACAGCACAGCTGCATTCTGCTGGTCTGGAGGCCCAGGCCAGGATATGGGGTGGCAGTAATTTGGGGCTGCCACAGTCTCAGGGTTGGTCTGGGTGTTAAAATCCACCCTGAAAACATCTGAGAAATGCAAATGTTTCTTCTTTTATCTTGACTGGTGACAGCGGTTCTTTGGCTGTCAGAGGAGTCTGGCAGATGGGGCTGCCCATCGCCATGAAGGCTCCCAGTCTCTCTGGCCCCAGGCAGTGTGGCGTTTTATCCTAGAGACAGGTGGAAGCAGGTGAGCAGGTGGAGGGACCATGGAAGTGCAAACATCTCCGAGCTCTATGCCCTGTGACCTCTCTTTGGACCCTGGTACCTCCATGGGGTGATGCCACTGTGCTCCCTTTGCCCACAGCCTGAGTCTGAGCGCCAAAGGCGGGGACTCCAGCCCACCAACCTCCTCCCTGTCATGTTATTAAACCGTGACCTCCAGGAGCCTAAGGAAGAGGGGCCACATCTGCTCACAGCCTCCATGTGGCCCAAGCGCTGGCCTGGCATCCATCCGCTGCTCTCAGCTGCAGCTCCAAAACCTGAAAGAGTGAGGCTTCGAGACTCAGCAAAATGGAGTATAAAATGCAGCCACTGTGGGAACAGCCTGACAGACTTTTAAAAAGTTAAACATAGACTTAACCATCTGACCCAGCAAATCTAGAAATCCAAGAAAGTCAAAATCAGACATCCATCAGAAAGTCGTGGCAGTGCATCAGAGCACTGTTCAGCCATAGGGAGGAAGAGCGGCTGCAGGGATGAGCCTGGAAACACACCGAGTGGCAGAAGCCCCTAGAGCCTGGTCCTGCTCATGGGAAATGTCCAGCACAGGCAGATCCACAGAGACACAGGGTGAGGCTGATGCTGCCCAGGCTCGGGCAGAGGCAGGGCGAGGCTGTGGGTGCATACAGAAGCCCATGGGTGCCTGGAATGTCCTCAGACCTCATGCAGACACCAAAACCCACTGAACTGTACACTTGAAATGGTGAATGTGGTGGGGTAGCGCTTTATTTGGAGGGGCTCCTTTGGAGGAGCAGGCGGATGAAGGGCGACCTCACAGATGTGCCTGCACTTGGTAAGGGAGCAGGGACAGTGAGCATCTTGAGATTATTACAGGCATGCACAGGGTATATTAACTCTGGTTCTCCTTCTACTCTGGGCCTAGGGATTGCCCCAGTTCAAGGGACCAGAGAAATTAGGGGGTTGGGATGGGAAGAAACTTCAAGGGGAGAGGTGTGACCCAGGGTTGAGTCTCTGGCATCCACACCAGAGGCTCAAAGCTCTGAGAGGTAGTGTTACAGGTGCCCCCCCCAACTTTCTGTAGTCCCCTCCCTCCCCCCTTTATACCTGTGCTCCAGACTCAGTAGCAGTTACAGTGGTCTCAGCCCAGGGAATATGCACCCCTGGGAAGGCTGCTTCTTGGTGAGGGTTCAGGGCAGAGCCGAGGTATTGTCCCTGGACTGTCTATACATATGTCCACCCACCTCTGGTACTGTCCCAGGCTGCATCCCACAGCGACAGGGCCAGCTTGGGAGATGTCCCACTCTGAGAACTTGGAAGAAGTTGCCACCAGCCTGGAATAGCTGAGGGGGAGAGGGGTGCCTGGTTTCCTCCAGAGTCCAGGGTCCAGAGCAGCCAGGCCTCCTTGTACAAAAGGGAAGCATTTGCAACCTCTGTGCCCCCAAGCAGTCAGATCTACTGAGGAGTGGGGGCTGAGGGTGCCCTTCCGGGGAGGGGGGCATGGCCTTCCAAGGGACAGGAGGTGGCCTACTGGTTTGCCTGGGTCTTAAGAGGGGGAGCCGCTGGCATGAGGAAGAGACACTTCAGCGAAGGGGCCTGGGCAGTGAGGGACCCATCCTGATCTTGTGGCCTCTTTGCTGTCTTGCAGCCACCCCAGGGCTGAAGCTGAGCGCTGACCAGCTGGCCCTGGTCTACAGCACCCTGGGGCTCTGCCTCTGTGCCATCATCTGCTGCTTCCTCCTGGCCGTGGCCTGCTTTCTCAAGAGGAGGGGGGACCAGTTCTCCTGCCAGCCCTCTCCAGGGCCTTGTCAGACCGGAGCCAAGTCCCCCAAGGGTGAGCCTGAAACAGGGATCTCACCCCCTCCCTGCTCAGCTTGGGGGATAAACCTCTGACAGGCTCTGTCCTGGCCCTGCCCAGGTCCCCAGCCGAGCCCTTCCTGGGGAGACGTTGGGCAAGCCTCTGAGTACTTTTTCTGTCTGGGTGAAGTCAGGTGCCAACATCATGGCAAGAAGTGAGGTGTTTTCCTGAGGGAGGGGGGTGTTCCGGGCCTTGGGACTGTAAGGGCTAAAGCCAGGAGGAGGTTTCAGGGAATTTCAGGGGCTGCTAGAGTATCAGCGAAGCTTATCCCTACACAGGCTCGAGCAGAAAGAAGCCTGGTGGAGGAGAGCAGAGCGCCTGTGCGTGGCAGGGTACTTTACCACCTAAGGGTAGCGTTTCCTTCTGAGCCCCCGGGCGGGCCGCTGTGCCCTGGACACCGGGTGGCGGAGGGGTCGGGCCACGTCCAACACCCTCTCCCCTTTTGGCAGATCACTGGATGGAGGCGGCGAGCGTCGCGCGCGGGCCGCCGGAGCCGGTGGAGACGTGCAGCTTCTGCTTCCCCGAGCGCAGGGCGCCCACCCAGGAGAGCGCGGGCGCGCCTGGCAC